AGAGGAGCCGACAGTGTGTGTGTAAAGCGACTTCCTGTCTGTGCTGGCAGTTCCTATTAGACCACTTGACTTCCACCATCCCTTTCTGTACAGATAAATCGGTACGTTTCCTTTTTATCCTCATTACTACTGGATAGTGTTTCTTCAGAGTCATAGTAATAGCATCTGCTATTCAGGTTTTATACCACAGAGAATAAAAGTTGATCAAATAGAAGCCTTAGCACTATTTTGTAGCATGTTAATACTTTTAAAAGATTAGGTAACAGGCAGACCAAATAGACCAGCTGATCTTCTTATACTTGGGAACTTCTCAAATGGAAAGACACACAATGAAGTAGAGAGGAGTTTTGAAGAAACAGTTGCAAAATATTTTTAGGTTGTTAATTATGTAAACTGTATTGGGTCTATAATCCTGTGTGATATGGAGACTGAAAGAGCAGGCTCCCTACAGCTGCCCCGGCAGGGAAGGTCTGTAGGGAGCAGACAGTGCTCCTGGCCTTGAAGCAGGGCTCTAACTGTGTCTGCCTCTTCTCAGGTCATGCCACAGCTGCTCAACTACCTAAAGGCCGACAGACTGGGCAGGAGCGTCGACTGGGGGGTCCTGGCTGTCTTCACCTGTGCTGAAAGCTGTAGGCTGGGCACTGGCTATGCAGAAGAGTTTGTTTGGAAGCAAGATATAACAGATACACCCTAAAGGCAATGTTGTAAAGCCTTAAAAATGCTCATAATCTCTTTGACCTTGCAATTCCATTTCTAGACTTTATCCTAAGGAAATAATTATACCAGAGATAGAGGTACAAAGATGTTGTTTTAGGTGTTGTTTAAAACATCTAAATATTAGTGGAAAAAAATGACCAGTGACAAGGAGTTAAGTAAATTTTGGTGGACCTATACAGCAGAAGGCTATGCAGTCTTAATGATATAGACTTATATGCATACCAAATAAGATACAGATTTAAACTGACACCAAGGTATGATCATATTTTTGTAACTATTTATACATGTGTATGTGCACAGGAATAAATTTGGAAAGATACACACTAGGTGTGAAGGGGTTAACTGAATGGTGGGACTAAGAAAATTGATGTTTTTACTTAAATACACATTTCTACAATAAAAATAGGTTATGTGCCTAATTGAGTCAAACTATCACTCAGCATTTCTCCCCTGAAATTTGCAAAGTTGACACAAATATTTGGGTAAACCCCAAGAGACTTGTCTGATTATCAGGTCATTATCACAGGCTCCAGCATACATAGAAGCCAAGAACATGAGAAACATTCTGAACCCCACTAGGCTGGTGAGGACGATGAATGGGATACCCAATAATTCTGAAGCAGCAGCAGCAGCACAGTTGGCTGGATCAAGAAAAACAGTAGATCTGTGATCAGAAAACCTGACCCTGAAGAGCAGCTCTGCTTCAAAACTGATCTGGGTGAGCCGGTGGTGCTGCTTATAGAGGAGAGACTGAAAGGCAACTGATGGTCTTCCCTTTGCATCTCATACTGCTACACATGGGGGACTGCTATACACGAGGGACATAACCAGAGTAAAGATGCAGGAATCAGCATTGAGTTCCCCTAGGTCAGCCCCAGGACCATCTGGCCCAGGAGGCAGCAGCCTGAGGGCGGGCCCTGAGGCCGGCTTTCAAGCGTGGGATATTCTGTTTCTGAAGCATCTGTTTATGCAAGTGGTTCCTAAATCTGTGCTGTTAACCATGCTGAGGTTCCTTCCAGCCTGGAGCGTTTGTTTAACAGTCATCTTGTGATACTTTGCAATTCTCAACACCAGCGCTGCCTGCCCAGCACTAAGGTAAATCTGAAGAGACACTGCTGTTGATCAGTGCTTGAAAGACAACAGCTAATTCTGGTAACTTTCTCATGATTATGTCTTCAATCTACATGGGCTCACATCCTCCCATTCACATCCCTGCTAACCCTGGAATACACTGCCAGCAAACACATCTTTTTTGAAGGTAACATCATTTGCTAATGTCACTGACTACATGGTCATTTTACTATACTTTTATATCGGAAAGTCCTAGCCTGTTAGTCCACGTCTTGTGTGTATGTATATGTAGTTCATAAAAATGTACATATAAGATAGTTAGCACCATATGATGAACGCAGTATGGAATTCCCATCGGGAGATCTGTCACTAGGCTACTTTTCAAGAGGGAGAGAGGAGTTAGTTTTGAGGCTGGGGGCGCAAAACTAGTGAGATTCCCCTAAAACTGGTGATGGAGCCCGGGACTACTGGAGGACACAATAAAAGTTATCAACCAGTGGCAAGAGTCACACACTTGGTAGGAAGCTCTGGCTTCTGCAAAACTCAACAGTGGGACCTTTATATCCCAAATCGTAACTCTTGTAGTCAGGATACGTTATAGTCAGTTTTCCAAAGCAGAACAGCATCCTGACTGCTAAGGACTTTTTAAGCAAATTCATAGGGTGTGTCTATTTGGTGCCATCACCAGATGATGTGGACATTCTCGCAGGCATGTTGGTAGTAACCAGCCACACTGTCCTTTAGGTAGGTGTGTTCACCAAGCTCTGGAGATGATGGCAAGAGTTCACAGGGCCTTTCCACTTGGAGACAGACTGGTCCAGATCACCAGAAAGAAAATGCCAGAGCACCAACTAAAGTAGAAACTATATTGAAAATAATACCAAAAAACCCCACAAAATAATTAAATACATCAAGCAACTCAGCTGCCTGTTGAAATGGCAAGACAATCTTAAAAACACCACAGAATGATTGACATATCCCCCAGGAACTGCTCCTGCAGAGGACTTCAGTCACCACTGCCGATCATGCATTCCACTGACACCCAAAACCTCCGCTGGGCCCAGACGCTGCCTGCCCAGACAGCTGTCCTACTGTGGAGAGCAACACGTTCACGGGTCCTTGTGTTTCACATGTCGAGTGCTCGTCTCATCGTCCTTTGACAATTCAGAGATCACAACAAAAAAATGTTTAAATGCTTTAGACTATCGTAAGACTGATGCATGTATAATGTGAGATCAAGTAAATGACTAATTATGGGATATTCTAACCCATCATCCCACGTGTCTTTAAAAAATTAAGGATTCTCTGTGTAAAAGACAATATAGAATATAGAATTGGTCAAATAAAATCGCTGTAGTCCTGAATATGAACTGGATATGTCAGTGTGAACTCAGGAGGTGTTTTATCTTGAAAACTTTTAAAGAGAAAGCAGCATTTATCCTGCTATATGAAGTGCATCACTATAAAGGTATTCCAAAAAAGAAATTAAATGATTAGAATTTCATCATTTGGTACCCACTAACAAATTAACGGACCAATGAAAGACAATCAGACATCTGATTCCTAACGAAGAGAACACGTCACCTACCGTCTTACAAAGGGACTAAGCCCCTGGATGCCACTACCCATTTGCAGGAAACACAGAGAACAGAGGAACACACTGAACTACACCACGAATCTGCAAATAGCAAAACAAGCTATAAGGAATAACCAGCCAATTGGCCTGTAAATTTTAAGGAAAAGAGCTGGAGGAGGAACTTAAGGAATAAAACAGACATAAAAACATCAATGTTTTTAAATGGAAGACTGTCATTACAGTGATTAGGTAATCACTGTAAAAGTCAGGCTAGTGGTTATTTTGGGGGGAGCTGAGGTTGTGGCAGGACTGCAGCATAGAGGGGCTTCTGGGGCAGGTGGCAAGGTTTTGGGTGGTGGTTGCAGGGATGTCTGTCTGAGTAGCAGTATGCTAAACATTTGTTAGGTTTTCTGTGTGTGCTGTATTTTACAACTATAATCACAGGAATTCAGTGAAGTAACTGGGAATAAGATAAATATATCAACAATAATTAATTTTAAAGTATGAAAAATTCCATTAATAACAGAAACCATAAAATAGGTATTAACTTTCAGGAAATGTAAAAGTCCTGTATGAAAAAAATTATCAAACTTTACTGAAGAAAGGAGAAGACCTATGTGTGCAGAGACACTTCTTTCTTGGATAGAAGGAGATGATATTGGAATGATGTCTTTCCAGTTAATCCACAAGTACTGGCATCACCAATGACTGGGAAACGCGAGACAAGGGCACTCTCTCTGGACTGCAGCCTGGCACGGAGCTGTCCAAACTCAGAGTGTAGAATGCTCCAGTATAGTGACTCCTTGGAATGTTTGCTACAGAAATACCTGTACTTTTCCACACATCCACACAGAAGCGCGTTCCCTGCAGCTCTGTGTGTAACAGTGCAACACTGCAGATAACGTAAATGCCCACAATTAAAGAAATGGGTAAAGAAAATGGGTAATGAAAGTACGTAAGAGGTGGTGTCATATATCTGCGACACCACTGGCTTCCATGTCATGCAAATATGTTTATGGTATATACTGACTGAAAAAGAAGGGAAGTTATAAAACCGAACATATGCTTTAGTCTTTTTTCCAAATATGGGCTCAAAGCGGCCCCAAAGGAAAGACCCTGCACAGAGAGGGCTTGGGAGATACCCAGTCATCTGCTAGCTAACCTGGAGAAACAGGCAGAAGGAGAGGAAGAAAGAACTTTCTTTTCTGATTATACACCTCTGAGCTGTTTGAAAATATAGTTTTACAATTCAAAAGAAAAACACACCCAAACAGTGAAACCCAACAAGGTACAAATGCCCCCCTGATGTTCACGAGAGAAACAAACACACCCCTCACCAGCGTCTGGATACAGCCCAGCTTTAACACGAGGCCTCTGGCTTAGAGCCTGCTGCTGCCGCTCACTAGCTATGCAACCTTGGGCAGATACCCCCTCACCTTCAAGAGAGGAGCAAGACCTACCTGCAGCTTCTGTGAGAAGGACAGGCAACGCACCTGGGAGACAGGAGGTGCTCAGTAGGTGAGACATAATAAACATGTTTTGTGGGCAACCTTAAATTTTCAGGCAGTTCATGCGTTCTCGTTGCAACATACAATGAAATGTTGATTGCAACAAACAACAAGCAAGCACACTGAAATGATTTCAGTCATTATATCTAAAATACAACTTTTTAACATGTATGATCACATGAATCTTACAAGGTATTATTTATAACATCAATCTAACACTTTTATAAACAGCATTTATTGTACAGAGTACTCTGAAGAAACAATTATGTACAGCCATCGTTTTCATTAATACGTCTATTCTGTCCTGCAATACTGAAAAGGCGGAATGTGTCTGGCACAAAAATAACCCCCAGGAATTACAAATTAGAAAACAACACTTTTAAAAAAGATCTTTTCTTTTCTGGTAGAAATATAAAAACTGTGGTTTATGGGGAAGAAACAAGCCAAAATAAAAAGTCCAATCAATTGTAGAGGTGGCTTTAACACTTAAAGTTTTGTCCCTTAAACCAACTGTCAACAGCAGTAAGTGTTTAAAAATCTAAATATAAATTAACGGGCAGCGCTGCCCAAATAGCAGCACAGTGTGAGCAACTTACAGTAACGCTGCGGTGTCCTCTGTGCAGAAACGACACCCTGCGCAGCATCCCCGCGGGACACGAGCAGGAGAGCTCCCCCTGGTACAGCAACCCACTAGAACGTCCAGCTTCTCACCAACTCGTCCACAACACCACCACTTGAATGTACCAAAACTGATTTGTTTTAAAAAAACAAGTGGGTAGGGGAGGCAGGAGAATACGAGGGCCATTACGTGGTCTTCCTGAAACCTTTTAGGATGGGGTAGATGTTTTCAAATGCTTCGTAAATCTCTGCTCTGACTTTAGCACCTACGAAGACAAGGTGGAGTAGAGATGAGTCTGAAATAGCATTTCTTAATCTATTAAGAAGGTGAGATCATTACTTTAAAACGAAACTACAAGCACAATTCTCTCCATACCCAGTTAGACTAAGGGACGCAGGCATTAAAACATGCATGACGGATCCCTTGTCACAATCCTATTTTTGTTTTTAAAGTATTTTCTTAAAACGGCCTACAAAAGCAACGCCCCAGGTGAATCCGGCCTCCCTCTCTGCAGTTTGCCCGTGTGACCAGCCTGGGTCCCTGCACCAGGTCATGAACCCAGCAGGGCAGCAGTGGAAATGGCTGAATCTTATTCTCCCAGTTGTTGCCTTCGACCAAGCTCTTCTGAACCTTCCTCTGTTTTCTAGAAACAATACTACTGATGAATCCCACAGCTTTAGAGGACAATTTCTAACTTAAAACGCCACCTCTTATCCAATGTAATGCTCACTGTTCCCCCTCTCCCCACCAAAGGTCATGCTTCGACTAAAGGATCAGCAGGACTGTGGTCTGATGCCCCTCCTCTTACGCCCTCTAGTGGGTATGTTTCTCATCAGGGTCAGGGTCGGGGGAAGAGAAAAAAGGGCACACAAATTACTTTTCAGCGCTGAGAAAATGCCGTTCTTGAAACCCCTTCAAACCTTCAGATACCACCTGCCATTACAACATACCTGTTAATACAACTTTTCCAGAAACAAATATAAGGAGAACAATTCTGGGTTTGATCATCCTGTAGATTAAACCAGGAAATAACTCTGGCTCATAACTAGAAGGAAAACAGCAAAAACAATTTAGAAATTAAAAGCTGTCCATGCTTTTAGATAAAATGAGGACATGTACAAGGGAAAATACTGAGTAAACAGCAAAATAATCAGGAGGGAAAGCCCAGTTCTTCAAGGAGCATCAAAGGAGAAAGGACGTGAGGCCAAGTGAGGCCAACTCTGTCTCTAATGAATCTGGATTTTCTGAGAACAAGAATTTCAGGTTTTGTAGTCTCTGACCCTTATCAAGCTTCATTCTGGACAAGTTTAGGTATATGGACTTGTAAGAGCCCAATAATCATTTATGTCTAAGATCTGATAGTAACAATTTGCCTTTTAACCATTCCCATCTCATCCCACTAAATGGAAATATGCTCTAGCTGTTAACTTTGGTCAGGCAATCTAACCACAGTGGTAGAGAAGACGCTGGCTGGAGAAGGAGTCTTCCCCTGACCACATGCACTACTGTGATGTCTTATTCTAACCCTAGTGATCTCATTTTGTTAGTTGAGAGAGGCTGAAAACAGTTAGGATGAGTGTCTGTTTAACCTGGTGGGAAATTCAGGACAGGCTTCTCTGAGGAAGAGACGCTTGGGTGGATATCTGAGATGCAAGTGGGAGCTTCCTGGGTGAAAGGTGAGACCAGAGTGTGCCAGGTCTAAACGCGGGATGCACAAAGGCCCTGTGCAAGAGGGGCAAGTCTGGGCGGTGCTGTGAGCAGAGAGGCTGCCGAGGTGGGCACATCCTCACCAGGGAGTCACAGGGAAACCAATGGAAAGAATATTCCTATCACTCAACTTCACACTTTGCTGGCACATCTGATAGAATGCTGACTAGAAGAAAAGATTCAAACAACTGGGGAAAAAATTGATACAAGAGGTGGTGAATTTAATGCATGCATTTATAATGCATTGATTGAGCAATAAAATGATGAAACATACAGAATGGGAATCAATTCATCCCAGTAACAAGGAGTTTTGGATGTCACTAAGTGAAATGGGAAGCAGGAGGCTGGCGACAGTAAGAGATATTACAAAGACATCAGGAAGAAATTTCAATAATAAATACATCTGTGACCACATCATTTGTTTCTACATACTATTTTGCATATGTTTTATCATGAACAGTGTTTAAATAGATTATAAATGAACTGTTGCCAAAAGCAACAACAATACATTTCAGACTCACCTACTAAACTGCTGGTGGGTGAGCACGAGGCCTTCCAGCCTTATAGGGAACTTCACATCGCAGCTCCCCACCATGTTCTGGATCTTAAAGTCCAAGAACTTGGCTGGAAAACCCAACTTCTGTACAACTCTGGCATATTTTCTTGCTGCTAGTCTGGACTGTTCTTCACTAGGGAAAGGGAAAAGTGAGGTGTTTATACTCCAAGCCAGCTAAAATAATTATTCAGATGAGTAACTTACAAAAAGTCCAAAATAGGAAAGTTGTTTCAAAAGAAAAGTGTAAACTGGTCACCCCCACTTCCGATAAGAGAAAAGATCAACAGACATTAACTTCATTATAAAGTACTCCTGTGTCCTTGACAGGAAACTGTAGGCCTATATAAATGATCACCTTTTCGATTCACCAAATTACTGACAGCCATGGATTTTACAAGTATGAAGTAAAATATCATCATCACCATTACCTTGATTATTGTATTTTAGTCCACATATACCTACTGAGATGAAAACTAACAAGCTTCGTTTTGATAGGAAAATACTGATGAGATTTATACCTAAAGAATGTATACACTAATCCTGTCCTCTTTTATGTCAAGTCTCTATACATTTCTTTAACATTTGTTGCAAAAACTATGACAATGTAGAGCTCAGGGAAAAACAGCAGAATGAAAGTAACACTACGATCACACAAAGACTCAAGAACAGGGGTCAGGAACAACAGAAATTAAGCATACAAACATGCAGTGCTTTTTTTTCTTTGAGGAAAATAAATGTATTTATAGTTTCTTACCTTGATACAATAATCACCCAGCTAGATATAACACTATTCGGTCTGAGCAAACGCTGTGGACGAAGAGAGCTAACCACTGCAGGAAAGGCCATCTGGGACAGAAGCAAACATCTAGCACCCCTGAGATAAACTCATGTTTCTGATGTTCCATCCAGGCGAAAACAGGCAAATAAAAGGACTCCTAAACGAATCATTACGTGGAAGCCAGGGACAGACTCATGTGTTGCTTTCGGAAAAAACTCTGAGAGACCAGAGTCAGAAACATGCACAACAGTGGCCCTCCATTACAAGACAACTCTCCAAGTTCAGAAGCAGCAAAGGCATCCACAGCCCTCTAAGTAATGACCCCCCACCTGCATTTTATTATCCTTCTTTCAAAAGTTTAATTTGCTTCATTTCTAAAAGCTCTACAAAGCTAACGTTCCTAATCTTCCCTCCAGCTTTTGCCTTCTACCAAGTACGTGGCTCTGTTAGACAAGGTTTAGAATACAGTCTTGAGTTGCTTAATGACGGAGAGACATTCTGAGACACGCTTCGCTAGGCAATTTCGTCGCTGGGCAAACATCACTGAGTGCACTTACACAAACCTAGACGGTACAGCCCACTACACACCTAGGCTGCGTGGTACTAACCTTATGGGGCCACTGTCATCTGTGCCGTCTGTCCTGGACCAAAACGTCATTCTGCGGCACATGACTGTAGTCAAGGCCCCAAAGCACTAATCTTCACAGACAGGATCACCCCAAACAGAAGAGAACAAGGGCAACAGCACTTTCTGAGAGGGGGGCATTCCCTCAGCCCTGTATAACTCAAGCGCTCGCAATTAGGACTATTTACGACCAGGGGCAGCAGGCATCTATAACCAACACACGTGGTGCACTCACACACTCAGCTGTGAAATTCTGTGATTCCTGACTGGTGAATCTGTGCTATATATGAAATTCTTTACATAAAAGGATCCTTATTAATAGTTTTGATGTTAATTTATCAAATATACAGAAAATGCAACCAACTTATATGGTAATGAGCACTGTAACGTGCATGTGGAACTCAAGCCTGGTTTTAAGAAAATGAAATTAATGCTGTCTAAAGTGATTAGAATCAACCATTTTAATAAGAAAGCAACACTCACATTTATTAAAGTATTAGCCTGATACCTAGGAACCATGGGATACAACCATTTCCTTCAGAACCTATAGACCAGGAGAATGACCTGCTTACACCTACCTCTTGGCTCCCGTGCACACCATTTTCCCAGAGCTGAATATCAGTGCAGTGGTTCGGGGCTCTCTTATCCTCATGATTACAGCAGCAAAACGCTGAAACAGTCAGAGACAAGCGTTAACGAGGTCACGTCAGATGGCTGGTTTCTGTGGGGAGAGCTAGGCAATGACAGAGAACATCACAACTGAAAACAAGGACCTTGGACACGCACACGTTCCTACACAGAGTTCCCTCACATCGCCAGGTGCTATACATGCTTTTGCATAGAGAGCAGAACAGATAAACCGTGACTACTAAGGAGGTTAGACCAAGACCCGTGTCCATCCACACACATTCCAACAAGAGAAGATAAGTAATATCTGCAAAATTTTTTCAACTAAGTACATCATCAATAAATACCAATGCCTCTGTTTCTACCTTATATTTGCTGATGATCATGATTAGCTTCTATAACTATAAATGTTTTATTAATGATTTTTTAGACAAACTGATAAACCTTTTCTACCTCCAGAGGGAAATAACAAATCAGATTATAAGCATTATCAATATGTACTGAAGTGACCTCCTGTTTCCAGTTCACTTTTAGACACAGTATTAATGCATTAGCACTTACATAATGCAAAGTAAGACAAGATCAAAGTTTTTGCTTTTAATTTCTACTTTTTATGTTTTAACATGTTTTTCTTGTAACTCATGGGGAAAATATTTCAACCATGGGTTGAATTAATGGCCTCAGTTACTAGGTTACATGATAAAAAGCAAAGAATTACTTTCAGATAACTAGAAAATTTTACTATCTTGTATTTAATTACATAAGAAAAAATTCATATATTTCTAGTCGAGATGACCCTTGACAATTAGATTGCTTTAACAATTTGTTTAAAAACTGCTCTGTCTTCCCTGATTTTACTACCATGTAAAAATACTAGCCCTATATTCCAGTTTACACAAGTCCCAGGAAAATCCTAATTATTTTGCATTTCCTGAATTCCCTCTACTGCTTTTATTGGTCAGATAACTAACATCACTTCATTAGAGACTAGAAAATTATAAAATTATGTATTCAACTAAATAAAATTATGCTAGATAGAGATGAATTCTTACAATGCTACACATCATACGAACTCGCCGTGGTGGTTAAATGGTGACTTTCAGACCTTAACTACCTTAGGATCTTAGACGAATACTTAAAAACTTTTTTTATATTTAGATAATTTCTTAAGATAAAGATGAAAACACTGGTCACAAAACGGTTTTTCTTTACCCTTTACTCTCATTTTTATGTTACATAACGACCATTCAATTAACTGTGGAAGGGGTGACATTAATGTAATGTCCATTCTTGCCACTTCAACAATCATCAAATAGATATATAATGTGCACTGATGGACAGACAGTCAGACATTTCTTGGTTATCTGCCTCCTACTCTTCCTTGTGTCTGGAGAAAACAACACTGGATTGCTTTGGCTAAGGTAATAATATAAATGGCTGAGTCTATACCAGGTACGATAGTTAATGAGAAATATATATTTTATTTCCTTATTAAGGAAATTGTTACAGTTTATTAACATCATAAGTTCAACGTGATATATGCATTATCTTAATATGACATTGTATTTAAAGTCAAAGGTAAAATGCTTTAAATGATTTAAAAAATTCAATAGTTCTAACAAATCATCTTTCTTTCTTAAATTCTCACTCTAAATTCAAAATAATAGAACTGTTCTTATATCTAGGTATCTTTGTGGTTTACTAAATGGACATTGGTTAACTATAAAGATTTATTCTCTCGGGGCTGGCCCCGTGGCCGAGTGGTTAAGTTCGCGTGCTCCGCTGCAGGCGGCCCAGTGTTTCGTTGGTTCGAATCCTGGGCGCGGACATGGCACTGCTCATCAGACCACGCTGAGGCAGCGTCCCACATGCCACAACTGGAAGAACTCACAACGAAGAATACACAACTATGTACCGGGGGGGCTTTGGGGAGAAAAAGGAAAAAAAATAAAATCTTACTAAAGATTTATTCTCTCACTGTAAAAAGGGGTTCTAAAATGATTAGGTATATTTGATGTTCTCCATATTTAAATTAATTAGCTCAACCAGGCTGACCAAAAAGTGTCAAAAGCTAAATGAGCCATCTTCTTTCTTGGCCAGTTATTACAGCAACTCTGACTTCGGATCTTTCTCGCTTGTACACAAAGACAGAGTTATGTTTTAGAGATCTGGAAACTCACCCTAAGACCATTACTTAAGATTTTTCTCAACCCACAGCTAACATTTATTTATCCAACCTCCCTATCTGCTGTAGCTGGCAAACACACCCCTACACTTCTATAAAATTATTGTCTGCTTCCTACCTAATTGTTAACTACTACTCCAGTCTAAACTCATCTACATTACTTCCCTTCCCTTAACAGAAAGTAAACAAAAATCTCTGGACGATCAAAATAAATCTAAACCTGCCTCATTTTGACTGATGTTTCATCCTGATGATAAATGCTAATGAGTCATTCAATAATGACTCATATTTAAAATAATCAAGCTATACTTTATATTGATACAGTAACTTCTAAATATTGTTATGAAATATTCTGTTACCAATAGCTCATTCTACTAAGATAGTTATCTTACTAGAGGTTCATGAGTAAATATTAATAGTCGATAAGCTTTTGGGTTTGTGTCATTATGAAAATAAGAGTCTTCTATCTTCTTTGGTTATTGCCAATTAAACCATTAAAAATACACTCATGACTTCTTAGAGAAAATCAGACTCCTGAAGGAAATATCAGTTGTAAGATTACAGCTCATTCTAAGGAAAGTGCCTTCTCTAGCTTATGCAAACAGCAGCTCTTACCAGGTTTGGCCACCACCGATACCAAAGGGATAATCTTTCTTTTTTCAGGTTGAGGGGGAGGCAGAAACTTACTCATTATCTTTTCTCTTTGTTTTATTTAAATATCTCAAAATGGCTTGGTGTCACTCAAAATTATCAAATTTTTATACTTATGCATGTGCGCACACGTGTGTGCACAGACACACAACAAAAAGCCACCACCACCAGAAAATGACAGAGAAAAATATGTACATTGATTCAGACTTCACAAAAATATTGGTGGGGAAATTTTACTTGAGAAGCTCAAGAGGGTACTGAGAAATGTCGTATCTTGAGTTATCACAGGCCAGGAAAGACGGAAATGGAGGGCAAGGCTCTGGGCTCCCACTTCAGATTTCATTCAATGCCCAAATCAAAAAGCTCAGATTTGCTTAATAATGGTATGTAAATAGTTTTTCTGTTGATTGAAGCTCTCCTCTGTTAAAAGGCCAAGGCTAAAATAGTCCAAGTTTCCAACAACAGTTTTATTTTCCTTGACCTAAAGTCTTAGTGCTAACAACAAGGTGATCCAAACCTCAAAATCCCCACAAATTCTCAACCTGGGAAACTGCTCCTGGAAGGCCTATGAGAACTGGCCTGGCTCCCCTAAGTCTCAACCTGGTCACACCCTGACCCTGCCAAACAATGTCCTGTCCAGTCGGCTGCTCCACGGGGTGAGCTACTCTCCACAGAAGACATCACTGCACCTATCTCTACTCGATACACAGGAGCAGACACATGCCCGAGGAGGCATCCGTGCAAGTCGGCCTTCTAACGAACAGCCTACAAGGAAGTGTTTCAGGCTCTCCCAACTAAAACACTGTTTTCAGGCATCAGAATACATTCCCCAGTTTGCATGTGCTCAGAATCCAACTGGACATGGGTTCTCCCGGAAGATCGACCTGAAATCTACTAAACGGCCTCCTGAAAGACATGACTCCTGAAAACACAGATTCCTCCCTAGACCTCTGAATCAAGACCCAGCATAAGACAACAGACTTTCATTTTATTATTTACAGCCTCTTCCTTCTCACTTCTTCCCCTTGGTATTAACCCTTTTTTTGCTGTTTGTTCCACCATTACATTTGTTATCCAGCTCTTCCAAGCATTCAAAACCAAAACCTCAGGTAAAACATCTTATTAAGATCCCAACATAGTCACTTAGCAAAAGGGGTACGAGAATGTGATTTCACTGTTTCTAAGAGATTTCTACCCTGGCTAGGAGTTCCTAAACTAAAACATGTGACCTGGATTGTGGTTCAAAAAACAAGTGAAACAGCTCACTCAACATAGTATAATAAATTCACTGGCTAAAACAGAGCCAGATAATAACAATATTGTCCTCAGCTATTTATTGGCCAGCCAAGTAGTACCTGTACGACCGTTAATACATCTTTTAACACCCAGATAAATATTCCACAGGGGTGAGGAGCAGAACAATCAATTAATTAATTGAGAAAAAAGACTTGGTTCCTAACTGATTCTTGGGAGTTAATTCTTCCAGTTAGGATTAAGCAAACTAAAAAAAACTGGATATGAAGTGAGTTCCACATATTTTTTATGATATTTATGATTATTCTTATTCTTTTCCTCTCCTCCACCAGTCAGGTGCTTAAATGCTGCTACATGGTCATTGTTTCACGATGACATTCAACTAATGATATGATATGAAAGAAAAACTGAAGCTCTCATGGGTGACCTGGACAGGGAGTCTAACCAAGGGAGGCACAGAAGGACATCAGTAAAGACATGGCACTAAGCTGGGAAAACTTGGAGGTGCTGACACACATTACAGACAGGCTGTCACACAGAATTCATAGTTTTTCCTTCTACCCTCTCTTTTCTTTTTCTGATATAAAATCTTATTTTTCCCTTGTTACAAGAAATCAATTTAATGCTGGTTTCCCTTGCATAAAAATAAAGAGCATGCCAATAATTAATTATCCATCTTGGAGTTACTCTTTGACAGATGCCCCCACTTCGGGGGAACTATCTTCCGCAGGACCTTGCCTCAGAGCTCTTCGACCTGACCGTCTTCTAGATTCAGATGCCTGGTTTCTGTCTGGCCCTCTAAGAATGTCCACTCATTTTTGAATGCAAATGTTTACTATTTTTAAAAAATTAGCTTTTCTACTATGCAAGGATAAAAGACTTAACATACACTCAGATTGCTCTTAAAATCAGAAAACTTGTAGGTATTTTTCCCTCTAATCTTTTTATTATAAAAAGTTTTAAAGTTATACAAAGGTAGAAAGATATATTGTAATAAACTTCCTTGTACTTATTATCCAAATTTAACAATTGTTAACTTTTGGCCAATCTTGTTTCATCCATGTGCCCCTTTCCCAATTCTCCAACTGGATTATTTTCAAGTAAGTTCCAGATAGCATGTCGTTCTATATAGTTTTCAAAGTATAAGTGCAGTCAGACTATACATGTTGTTCTCTAACTTCATATGATCCCCACCACAATGGGTTATAAACTTAGTTTATCTTGCAGACTGCTGAATTCCTAGGGTCTCTTACATGGTAGCTATTCAATAAAAATGATACACATTTTGCTTTAAATTCTCGTTTTGTTGGTGTCAACAAACTAAAGCATGATACAAACTTTTTGATCTAGGAACCTTTAGAAGTAAATTCCTGTATTATTATAGTTTGAAATACATTAAAATTGTTCTGACCTTGGGATTATATTCAGCATTTCGGGCACGAAGTGCAATGGTCTTTAGGTCAAGTTTACAACCGAGATTCACTGTGGATACAATATTTCTGCAAGAAATTTGAAAAGAAAACACGGTTATTTAATTTTTACAGGATAAGGTATCAGATGGATATTTAGAAATCTGATTCTTTCACTTGAACTAACTGAATTTCATTAAATTTACACTAATTTATATTAATTTTTATATTAAAATTTTTTAAAAGTTGCTGACTTAAGTGTTTGACAAGTACAACACACCATGGTGAGCATTTTCCAAAGATTATCACTCCACATTTACGATGCACTATGAAGTCCTAACTATTAACATTCCCATTTTCAGAGGAAGCAGCTGAGGCTTCAATGGGGGAGCACCTGCTCTGGACACACATGGCTCCTAAATGGTGGAGTCAGGGCTGGGCCGTTTGTCTCCAGCGCCCTGTCCAAGCATTCCGCCTGTACTGACTCAACTCATCCCTGAGCTCTGAAACACCAGCATCACCACCACTAATCCCAAAAAACACTATTTATAAAGAAATATGCAGGCATGACTTTCTTAGTCCTTTCAAAATTAAGTATCTTTTGCAGGAACAAGAGTTCAGTATCTTTGACACAGGAAAAAAACTATTTTTTCTTCTGATTAGCCCTCAGTAAATCCAGAAAAACAGACATCACCATTTATTATCTGGGTCCAATGGACCTTTATTTTTCAATATTCTTATATAATTTTAAGAGTCACTTACAAAAGAATAACTACATAATGGAGAAGCAAGTTTATTAGAAATTTTAACAAATATTTAAATACAGCAAATCCAGAACTATTCTATATTTTCCTGGTTTTAAAAGTATGGACTCAAAATGGGCAATGCCCTTTGAATGAAACTAATTGCCCACCAACCATCAGGCATGGACCTGGAACATCACTGTCCTCTGAATACCGATTCCAGATTGCAAACCATCTCGAATCAGTGCTGGCTCATTGCTGTTTCTGGTTTGTTCTCTTGTACTGTCAAAATACAATACTTTTGATAGCTTACCATTTGGTTGAAAAGAGGATGTTGTCTTCTTTAATGCACAACTGTAAGGCCAATTAGGATGACCAACTCAATGAATGTTTCCACTTCTTCATCACCTATTTCCTTCCAATTTTATATACACACTTGCCTTCAGCATTTAACCACTTATGAACGGAACCAAGTAAATTTTGGTGCATCTATCACAAATTCAGTCATATAATTGTTAAATGTATTTTTTTTCTCTTTGTATGAAAATTGTGTTAAAATACACATAACATAAAATTGACTCTCAACTATTTTTAAGTGTACGGTTCAGTGGTATTCAATACATTCACATTGTGTGTAGCCACCACCACCATCCGTCCCTGTAACTCTTTTCATCTTGTAAAACTGAAACTCTGTCCCGATTAAAGACGAACTCCCCATCCTTGCCTCTTCCCAGGCCCTGGCAACCACCATTTTACCTTCTATCTCTATGCTTTTGACTATTCTAAGTACCTCATTTAAGTGGATCATATAGTATTTGTCTTTTTGTGACTGGCTTATTTCACTTAACATAATGCCCTCAAGGTTCCCCATTGTAGTATACTGCAGAACTCCTTTCCTTTTTACAGCTAAAGAATATTCCACTGTATGAATATACCATGTTTTGCTTATCCATTCATCTGTCCAGGACATCTGGGTCACTTCCCTATTTTAGATATTGTGAATAATATGGCTATGAACATGGTTGTACAAACATCTCTTTAAGACCCTGCTTTCACTTCTTTTGGGTATATACCCAGAAGTGGTCTTGTTGGGTCATATGGTAATTCTACTTCAATTTTTTGAGGAACCTCCATATTGTTTTCCACAGTCGCCGTACCATTTTACATTCCCACCAACAGTGCACAAGGATTCCAACTTCTCTACCTCCTTGCCACTTGCACTGTTTTTTTTTTTTAATTTTAGTCATCCTAATAAGTGTGAGGTGGTATCTCACTGTAGTTTTGATTTGCATTTCCCTAATGATTACTGATGTTGAACATTTTTTCATGTCCTTATTGACCATTCGTGTATCTTCTCTGGAGAAATGTCTATTCAACTCCTTTGCCCTTTTTGTGAATCAGGCAGTTTAGTTTTTGCTGTTAAGGTTTAGGAGTTCTCTATATATTCTGGATATTAATCCCTTATACGATACATGATTTGCAAATATTTTCTCCCATTCTGTGGGTTGCTTTTTTACTCTGTGGATAGAGTCTTTTGATGTACAATTTTTTTTAATTTTCATGAAGTCTAATTTGTCTATTTTTTCTTTTGTTCCTGTGCCTTTGGTGTCATATCTTGGAAATCACTGCCAAGTCCAATGTCATGGAGCTTTTGTCTTGTTTTCTTCTCAAAGTTTAATTTGTTTTAGGTCTTACATTTAGGTCCTTGATCTACTTTGAGTTAATTTTTGTATATGGTGTTAAATGAGAGTCCAACTTCATCCTTTAATGTAGACATCCAGTTTTCCCAGCACCATTTGTTGAAAGACTGTCCTTTCTCCACTGGATAGTCTTGGCACCCTTCCCCTTCCTGATTCGTTCATTGAGGCCAGCATTATGCTGACGCCAAACCCAGGCAAAGATACTACAAGAAAAGAAAACTACAGACCAATGTCCCTGTGATCATTGAAGCAAAAATGCTCAAGAAACTTCTAGGAAACAGAATTCAGCAGCATATTAAAAGGATTATATACCATGACCAAATGGGATTAATTCCTAGAATACACGGATGGTTAAACATGAAAATTGATCAATGAAAAGCACTGGAACAACAAAGTGAAGAACGAAAAAAAACACCTGATCCATCATGATGCAGAAAAAGCATTTGACAAAATTCACTGCCCTTTCATGATAAAAACACTCAACAAAATAGGGACAGATGGAAATTATCTTAACATAATAAAAGTCATATGTGAAAAACCCACAGCAAACATAATACTCAATGTTGAAAGATTTAAGGCGTTACCTCTAAGATGTTTTTTCTTTCTTTCTTTTTTTTATTGAGGTAACATTGGTTTATAACATTATGTACATTTCAAGTGTACATCATTATATTTCAACTTCTGTATAGACTACATCATGTTCACCACCAAAATCTAGTTGCCATCTGTAATCTAAGTATTTTCTAATTGCCCTTGTAATCTCTTCTTTGATCCGTGGCTATTTAAAAGTGTGCTGTTTAATTTCTAAAATTTTGTAAATTTTCCGGTTTTCTTTGTGTTATTAATTTCTAACTTCACCTCATTTTGGTCAGATCCTTTGTATATCTATCTTTTAAAATTTACTGAGACTTAATTTGTGGCCTAACACATGGTATATCCTAGAAAATTTCCCATGTGTACTTGAAAATAGTGTGCATGCTGCTGTTGGGTGGCGTGTTCTGTACACGTCTGTTAGATCCAGTTGGTTTATTGTGTTAAGTCTTCTGTCTCCTTAGTTATCATCTGTCTGATTGTTCTATCCAGTATCGTGAGTGGGATACTAAAGTCTCCAACTATTATGGTAAAATTGTCTATTTCTTCCTTCAATTCTGTCGATTTGGGCCTTATATATTTTGATGGTCTGTCATTAGGTATGCAAAGGTTTATAATTATTCTATCTCCTTGCTATATTGAACGTTTCATTAATATGTAATATTCTTGTTTCCTGTAATCTTTTTTGATTTAAAGTCTGTTCTGTCTGATATTAGTATAGGTACTCCTGCTCTCTTCTGTTTACTATCTCCATAGATTATCTTTTTCCATCCTTTTACTTTCAACCTGTTTGTGTCTTTGGATCTTAACTGGGTCTCTGGTAGACAGCATATAGTTGGATCATTTGTTTTTATCCATTCTGCCAATCTCTCCCTTTTGACTGGAGAGTTTAATCCACTTACATGTAAAATAATTACTGATAAGATGTTTTCCGTATGCCCTATAGCTTCTTTGTCCCTCATTTCCTGCATTCCTCTCTTCTTTCGTGTTTAGTTGATTTTTAAAGTGAAATACTTAAGCTACTTCTTAATTTCTTTTCGTGTCTATTCTAAGCTATTTTCTTTGTGGTTACCATTGGGATTACATTTAACATCCTGAAGTTGTAACATTCTAATTTGAATTCATAGCAGCTTAACTTGAGTAACGTACAAAAACTCTTTTCCTTTAGGGCTCTGTCCCCACCCCTTTTGGTTACTGATGTCACAAAACTACATCTTCATACATCGTGTGACCCAAACATAAACTAATCATTATTTAAAATGCGCTAGTCTTTTAAATTATATAGAAAACAAGATCTGGAGTTACAAACCAAAGTTATAGTAATACTAGCTTTACGCTAACAATTGCTTTCTTTTCTTTAAGAGGTATTAGTCTCTTAAAATTATGTAGAAAACAAAAAGTAAAGTTACACACCATTGTTACAATAATCCTAGCTTTATAAATGATGTACTTGGCTTTAATGAGATCTTTATTTCTCAATACGGCTTGGAGGAGCCCTCTGGTATGGTTGCATTTCATCCAGCAGAACTCCCTTGAGCATTTCTTCCAGGGCAGGTGTAGTGGCCATGAACTATAAACTGTTTCAGCTTTTGTTTAACTGGGAATGTCTTGATTTTTCCCTCACTTTTGAAGGACAGTTTTACCAGATATAGGACTCTTGGCTGACAGTTTTACTTTCCCACTTTGAATCTATTGGTCCACTGTCTTCTGGCCTCCAAAGTTTCTGATGAGAAATCTGCTGATTCTGCTATTGAGCATTGCTTGTATGTGATGATTCCCTTCTCTCTTGCTGTTTTCAAGATTCACTCTTTGTATTTTGAAAGTCTGATTATAATGTGTCTCAGAGTGGGTGTCTCTGAATTCACCTTGTGTGGAGTTCGTTGAGCTGCTTCAATGTTCATATTCATGTCTTTCATCAAATGTGGGAAGTTCTCAGCCATTATTTCTTCAGACATTCTCTCTGCCCCTTTCTCTCTCTCTCCTCCTTCTGGGGCACCTACAATGTGTACATTGGTCTGCTTCATGGTGTCCCCCAGGATCCTTAGGCTCTGTTCATTTTTCTTCAATCCTTTTTCTTTCTCTTCCTCAGCCTCGATAATTTCTGTTGTCCTATCCTCGAGTTCACTGATTCTTTCTTCGGCCTGCTCAAATCTGTCTTTGAATCCCTCTAGTGAATTTTTTCACTTCAAATATCATACTTTCCAGATCCAGAATTCCTTTCTGGTTTCTTTTTAGGCCTTATAGCTCATTAGTGACATTTCCATTTTGCTCACACATCATTCTTTTTTTATTTCTCCACATCTTCCTTTAGTTCTCTGAACATCTTTAGGACAGTTGTTTTAAAGTCTTTGCCTAGTATATCTGTCATTAGGTCTTTCTCTGGGACAGATTATGTTGAATTGTTTTTCCCTTTGAATGAGCCATACTTTTCTGTTTCTTTGTGAGTCTTCTTTTTGTTGGACAGTGGACATCTGAATCTAGAAATGCGGCAATTCTGGAAATCAGATTCTCCCCCTTCTCCAGGGTTAGTTGTTTTTGTTATTTTTGTTTTTTTGATTGTTGTAGGCTATCTGTGCTGTGGATCAGCCTGAGGTCTTCTCAGGTCTTTTCTAGCCTTTCCTTGGGCATGCACATCACTTTTTTCCCTGTGAATGCAGTTGGTTTGGAACATCCCAGTCTTTGATGTCTGGCTCCCAAAAGAGGAAAATAGGTAAGTGAGGGTGGGGGGAAGGGCAATGACATTTTAAATCCCCTAGAAGTCACTTCAGCCAGAGGAGGAGGGGCTTGCAACAATGGGGGGAAGTGCAACAATGGCTGCCTGTCTCTTTGTCTGCACCTCTGTGATCAGCAGCAGCAATCAGTGAACAGAGAACAGAACCACAATATTTGTAGGACAGGGTCCTTTCACCCACCCTGGCTCCCACAGTCTGTGTGCAAGCTGCTCCAGGAACACCTGCACCGCTGCCTGCCAGGGAGTTGGGGGTGGAGGATGGGTAGCTGTTCCTGTGCTAAGAGCTGACACTGACCAAAACTGACTGCAATTCACCATCCAAACCTTACCCTGGCAGTTCCAAGCCTTCAACAGACTCGAGTTCCAAACTAGTTATATCAGACTGATTCTGCCAGTACAATTGTTGTCTGGGTGGGGAGACTGATTTCGGGTTGTCCTACCCTGCTATCTTTCCAGAATCTTAAAAAGGTATTCTCATACATTTTCATTAATTGAATATTTACCCTAATTCTTCATAAGGCTATTAAGATTTAGAGGCCACTGGATTCCCACTCAGTAGGGCTCTTAGCAGATAGTGGAAACTCAGTAATGTGGCCGACTGAACACTTTGTGGAATACCAGAAAGATTAAGGTGCCAGCAAGAAGCAAACACCCCATCCAAACTGGTTATAATTTATGATTTAAATCAGAGGTGCAAACTTAAGTGTCCCCAGGAGGCAGACAAGTGCGCAAGCCAACAGGAAATGGTGTTGAGAAAAGTGAACTAACAAGTGCTTATCTCTCAAAAATCATTAAAATTAAAATTGTGTCAGATCAAATAAATACCTGAGCCAAGATTTACGTCTTTGGATAAGAGAAACCATGACTAAACACTACTTAGTTCTAAAAAGGATGAGAAATGGCCTACAAGGAACCTGGGTGATGCAGTTATTCAAATAACCCCTTGATTTGGCCACAAGCTTCCTAAAAACAAAAGCTATACACTTCTCACTGATAGGTACAACGGAATATTTGTGCTTTTTAGAAAGGAGAGATTTCGTCCTACCCCTCCTATCCTGTTACATATGGGACCCTCTCGATTTAGGGACAGAAATCCACTTAGGGCAAGAACAGCCGTCCTCCGCTTGTGGGAAGGACATAGCTCTTCTAAGATTTATATGCAGCCCTCAAAACACCAATGAAGAAAAACAAGGACCACTGTGAACTATACTGAATCTGTGACTAAGCAATTAATTTTCCCAAAGACCTAAAACATCACAAAGGAAGGAGACTACATAAGGCTTGATTTAGCAAATCAGCTATAGGGAAATGTCTGTGACAACAACAATGAAATCCAAGCAGGATTTCATAGGCCCAAGTACACAAACACAAGCTGGCGGATTTCTGAAGATGTTCTAAGAGCCTCTCGCTGAGCACGCTAACTCACTAAGACAGCTCTGCTTCCCTCTCTTGGGCACAGAGAAAGCAGATTCTGACACACGATTACCATTAGCGCCACACCCTTAAAGAAGTCAATCCACCTGAAAACAACAACAGCTCCAAGGAACCCCCCCAGGGCAAGGCCGAGGACAACACAAGTACTCACTGTAGCTGCGGCACAATCCCAGAGCTCTCGGAGGCTGGCGTGGCAGGGGTGATGGGGGTCATGGGGGTCATGGGGGAGGGGTACAGGGGCGTGGTGCCTGGCAAGGGTGCAGTGGTAAGAGTCTGCGAGTGGAAGAGCTGTGGTGTCTGGCCCGAGGCCCCCTGTGTCGCCTGCTGGGATGTCGACTGCTGAACTGCTGCCGCTGCCTGCTGCTGCTGCTGTTGCTGCTGCTGCTGCTGCTGCTGCTGTTGCTGCTGCTGCTGCTGCTGCTGCTGCTGCTGCTGTTGCTGCTGCTGCCTTTGCTGCTCCTCCAAAATAGACAGGCTATTGGTGTTCTGAATAGGCTGTGGAGTCAGTCCTGTGCCGTAAGGCATCATAGGACTAAAGATAGGGATTCCAGGAGTCATGGCACCCTGTGGAGAGTCAGGAGAACAACGGGTTAGGCAGGCCGGTGTTGAGTGTTTGCAGGACTTGCCTGGTAGAAGAGCATGTGACACATGCAAAGACAGACACCTTCCGAGTATAAACGGGGTTATTAAGCATTAATAGGGAGGAACCTATTGTTCTTAGAGACATCACTTTCTTCTTCACGCTAACATGGTGCCTAAGAGCTTAGGATTTGCGATTAGACCTGGGTATCAAATCCAACTCTGCTACTTACTACACGTGAGAACTCGAGGAAGCTGCTCAACTGTTTAGGCATACCTAAGGGACAATAAGGCTCTAAGATTGTTAGAAAGAATAAGGGAGACAAGCAGAGTGACCACACATCCTTGTTTAGACTACTATCCCCGCATACCACCTGGAAGGACCCAGTTTCCCTCTCAAGGCATCTGTCCCAGTTTAAATGAAAAATTATATGGTTACCCTAGAGATATCCACTTAAACCATTCAACATGACAGGCACATAGAAAACTCTGAAGTGTTAGTAATGATAATGACGATTACTAGAATACTATTCGAAAAGGCTGATCATTTGCTCTCCCAAAACTTTAAATCAACAAAATCCAATGCATCTATCAGAATATCAATATGCTTTTCCATAATGATTCTAAACTTTTCCAGACATTGCTATATTCATTAATTCACCCGAGTTCTACAGCAGCCCTTCGGGAAAGGGAAAACAGATGCTGGTCTTCCCACATTAAAGACAAGAAAACTGACACCAAGAGAAGTTAAATGGCTTGCCCAAGACATAGATATCATTAGATGAGCCAAGATCACAACCAAGTTTTCCTGACACCCAGCCCCGTGCTTTCCCACAACACCAGAAGCCGTGGAGCCATGGGGCCTGCAGAGCTTGTAACGGCTTTGTGAGCCCCTCAGAATTACACCAACATGTCTGCATGGAGAGATCCACAGTTTTCACGGGCTGATTCTCAAATGGGTGCAGGACCCAAAAAAGAGCCATCCTTTCCCACTTCCTTCACTTTATTTGGCAGAAAGTATAAACTAAAAATATCTAAAATATTTACGTTAAGTTGTTTCACCAACATAGGCAAAGAAAGAAAATGAGAGGAGGAGACCAAATATATACTGCAGCCCTGACACTACAGGCGTCAGTCTGTTGCACCTATTACTTATTTCTACAAAAATATTGGCTAGGAAAAAATTCAGGTTACATTAATTTAGTAAGAGTAAGGCTTTGAAAGGTCTGTCTTTATGTCATACAAAAACATGAACTCAAAATGGATCACAGACATACATGTAACGGCTAAAACTATGAGGAGAAAAATCCTTAAGACTTTGAGTAGGCAGATTTCTTAGACAGGACACAAATGCACTAACCATGAAGTAAAACTGATAAATGGACGTTAGAACAAATTAAGAACTTCAACTCTTTGAAAGACACCATTAAGAAAATTAAAACATAAGCCACAGACTGGGAAAAATATCTACAATACATGTATCTGAGAAAGGACTTGTATTAGAATACATAAAGAACAATTACAGTTCAATAAAAGATGAATAAACCAGTAAAAAATAAGTAAAAGATACGAAGTACACTTTACAAATAAGATACATAAATGGCTAATAAGCACTTGACAAGATGCTCAAGATCATAGGTGACCAGGAAAATGCAAACTAAAACCATAAAGAAATACTACTAAGCAACCACCAGAATGGCTAAAAGTAAAAAAACCCAAGTGTTGGTGAGGCTGTGGAGCGACTAGGACTCACACATGCTGCTGGTGGAACTTTAGAATACAGTTTGGCAGTGTCTTAAAAAATGAAACATACACTTACCATATGATCTAGCAATCCCATGCCCAAGCATCTACCCAAGAGAAGTAAAAATACAGTGTACACAAAGCCTGTGCACAAATGTTTACAGCGCCTTTATTCATAATAGCCCCAACCTGGAAGCACGCTGAATGTCCACAACTGGAGAATGGGTAAACAAACTGTTGTATATCCACACAGTAGAGCACTACTTGGCAACAGAAAGGACTTTGCTGATATACAAACGTCATGCGGGGCAAAGAAGACAGACACAAAGAAAGCACGTACTGGTTTGATTCCATCTGCATGAAATTCTAGACTAGGCAAAACTATCTTTAGCTCTAGAAAGCAGTAGCTGCCTGGGGTTAGGGGAGTGACTGCAAAGGGGCAGGAAGGGATTTTTTTAGGGTAATTGAATTGTTCTATAACTTACACAGGGGTGTATGATTATCAAAACATACACTTAAAGCAGGTGTTTTTATTGTATGTAAATTATACTTCAACAGAGGTTATTTAAAACTTTTAAACATAGACATGTTATTTGGAACCTTAAACAAGACAAAAAGATAAAAATAGATAAAAAGATAAAATTAGAAAATGATTTGGTGACTTATTTTCAAAATCAAAGACCCTATAATAATCACTTGGAACACTTTCATAAGTGTTTATGAAAAGATCACATTTTTATGGACAAATACATATTTTAGCTTCCAAAGAAACTCCCCAAATTAAACACTATCATGCCTGTCCAAAGCCTAAAAGAACTTCTCAACAAAATAAGGGAGGTTTAAAGAAATACAAATCCATTTTCAACAGCAGATTGTTCAATTCCTTCCTTCCCTTTTACACCGTCTCCAGGAGGGACATCTGTCCCACCTGTGCCCCCGTCCAGCTGTGTTACCTGAGGGGAGGCCAAGCCCTGAGCATAAGGCGGCAGGCTGTTGTTCTGATCCATGACGCTCACTTTCTTCTTAGCAAATCAAAACCCTTTGGACTGGAACTCGCCTCAGCATTCGGTCTTTTCCTGGACCATCCCCAGCACACTCTTCTTAGCAACTTCCTCAGCTCTCTGGGTTATCTTCACATACACCAAGAAACAGTGACGCTGTCTTAAAAAAGGTTTGAAGTTTAATGTAAGAATATAGGTAAGCTGGACAGGCTTATAAACCAGTTTCATGGTTACACAAAAAAACAACAAAAAAACCAATGAAGCTCTTTTGGAATACATTTCTTTTTACCTTATAATGCTGAAATCTTATTCCTTCCACATTTCCTGTGACTGCATGCAAAACTGCCAATAGAAAAATCGTTTTGTTACATGTTTAATTTAAATACTCTTACAGTGTTCAAAATTAAGGTGTCATAATCAACATTAAAAAGTTTCAGAGCAAAATACCCAGAGAAAATGAATTTCTGAGCAAACTATCATATCTGAACAGAAATATTTATTAAGCAATGTCTAGACAGTGCTATTAGGCCAAGTTCAGATTTTTAAACATGCCAATCAGTTTTACATCCTCCATCATGTCTTGGGTGGATAAGTTAAGTTCCAAAATATTGAATTGGATCCAATACACTTTAATGTGATCATTTATTGAGCTGCTACCTTAATAAAACAGTGATAGAAGCTGTATAGACAAAAATAAATACAATATCATATTTTTGTATACACAATAACTTTACCTCTTTAGAACACATAAATACAAACTGTGCCTGTGTCTGGCTCTCCTTATGTCATCATCTCTTTACTGGCTACACATCTGAAATTACTCTTAGACCAAAGAAGCAAGGGACTGTCGAAAGACCTTTTTGTTCAGTTTAGTTCAGATGGGGATCCCTAACTTGCCCAGGGTTGCTGAGAACTGATTGAATCAAATAGGACTGACTGACTGACACATCAAGAACACGTCCAGTCACCACATGTAGCACGCACAGGATAAATGTTAGCTATTACTAGATTTCAGCTTAAACATTATCATTTAATAAGATATTCCCACGCAGAATGCATAGGTCTCAAAGTTACAAGCTATATGTCAAAGACACACATATTTGTTGGATGAACGTAAGAATCTCGCAATCACTTTGAAAGGACAAAGGACCCCAAAGATTATATATCTTACGCACTCATCACTAAAAAACAGACCAAAAATAAAAAATAAAAACTCTGCTTCAAAAACATAGGGCCAGCCCAGTGGTGCAACAGTTAAGTGCACACGTTCCGCTTCGGCAGCCCGGGGTTTGCTGGTTTGGCTCCTGGGTGTGGACATGGCACAGCTTGGCAAGCCATGCTGTGGAAGGCGTCCCACATATAAAGTAGAGGAAGAAGGGCATGGATGTTAGCTTGGGGCCAGTCTTCCTCAGCAAATAGAGGAGGATTGGCAGTACATGTTCGCTCAGGGCTAATCTTCCTCAAAAAAAAGAAAAAAGAAAATATGAGATGTAAGAAAATTAGCGTTTTTTGGCATCCTATAATAACAACAGTATCATCCTATAATTAAAAACAATAGAAGTGCTGCAAACATAAAAATGAACAGGATATGCAGTCTTTGGCATCACAGTTCCATCTGAAGGGTATGCAAATAATTGCTATAGGGCAAAGCTTAAGTGCTATAACAACAGATATGCACTATGCTAAGTTCCTTGAGTGCAGAAAAAAGCACACAAGTCTGTAATCCCTGCACTTAGCACCGAGCCTGGCGGATGGTACACGATCATGAATAAATGCACACATGCGCTGGAAGAAAAGATAAGATAAGGGCCATGTGTTCTAACAAGGGGTATTTTCACAAAGCAGGGAGCATCTGACGAGTCTAGTAAGGTGAGGAGGAATTTACAAATCAGCTCTTGACGCAAAAGAAAGATGGAACACGCAAAAGAGAGACGAAGATTGAAAGAGCACGCAGTACCCAAGCAACAAGCTTGGCACGACTGTATGGAAGGCTCCTGCAGGGGATGAGTTGGCAAATACAAGTGGGGTCACATTATCAGGAGTCTTAGTCATTATCACATAAGCAGTAAGAGCAGGGACCAAATTTTGAACGGCAGAGGAGTAGATCTCCTTTGGCGAGAGTGTGAATGAATTCGATGAGGTAAAACTGGAGGCTGCAAGTTCAATTTAAAGCAGGCCCTGCTAGAGACCGGGAGGGTGGGATTTAAAGCACTCACAAATATGACTAGCAATTTATGCAGAAGCTGAAGCTGATGGCTTCAGACTCCTTTCTGCAAACTGCCAGTCTAAGAAGAAACCTGAGTTCCTGGGTTGGGGCCTGATGTTACGTTGTTCAGAGCTCATGGCTCACTCCCAGTGATGGCACTGACCATCTCCCCTCGCCGGTGTCGTGAAAACCGCAGTGATTCCTGCACTAACTTAGGAAAGAAAGCTGTCTGCAAAGTGTCTTCATCTTTTGGAAACTGAAGCATCATATTCCATACTGTTTGGACACAATTACTGGTAAGGGAGAAGAATCAGTTAATGCTGCGCAGTCTCCTGGTGTCCATACAACTCAATCGAGCACCCGCTTTTCGTAGAGTAGCCTACCCAGACTTCTAAAGCGGAAAACCACGCTGGCCAGGGCCTCGACCGGGAGGCCTTGTGAATAAAGCGGCGTGCATTTAACTCTTACGCGCTCCCGAGCCCGAATCTCTGGCTTCTGGAAAAACCTTAGAACAATCTCAAGCGCAACTTTATACCAAAACCACGTCTGCTGGGAGCAAGACAGGTGGCACCGGCCAGAGGGAATCGCCTTCCAACCTCGTGGAGGAGACACGGACTGCATAACCGAGGTCCCCGGGCCCCGGCCGCGCGGACCGCCCACCCCCGCCGCCCGCGCCCGCCCCGGGACGCCGCTTTCGAGCCGCCGGCGGGACGCGGCCGGTACAGGCCCGAGCAGAGGACGGTCCCCGCGCGGCCTGCGCGCCCCCTCCGTATCTGCTCCCGCCATCGCCCCGGCCGCGCTGTAGCGGCCGCCTCTGCACGAGGCCTCGGAGAAGAGGAGACGCGAGGAGGGCTGTTACCTGGAGTCCCGGCAGAGACTGCTAACGGCCGCGGACACGAAGCTAAGCCGCAGGCGGCCCAGGCACCCGCCACGGCGACCCTTCTCGACCCTCCTGAACTCCAGGCGCGCGTTGATAATGTCACTTCCGCCAGTTCCGCCCTCGGCTTCAGCGGGCGGCCGGCGGCAGAGCGGCCGCCATAGCAAGTGTGGGCACTCCGTCACTTCCTGTGTTTCTTCGGCTGCTCGACTTACGGGGCGCGCGGGGCGGGGCGGAGCTCTCGAGGAGTTCCGGGGCGGGGCCGCCTTGCGCAAGCATCTTCTCATTGGTCTTTGCTGGACGTGGGCGAGATAGTGATTTTTAAATGTTGACTTTTCAAGCCGACTAGCGGTGTGACCTTTGACAAGTTACCTGACCTCTCTGCCCCAGTTTCTTCGTCTCTAGAATAGAATAACAGTAGCACTTGCCTTCGAAGGATTCGTGAGATGCATTAAGGAATGCATGAACAGTGGCACAGCATAAGCACTCAGTGCCTGCTGGCTATTCCCAAACACGCAGAAGGAGAAGGAAAACAAAAGCGGACAGCCTGGTTTACAGATTCAGTTGTATTTTAACTCTGCTGCTACCATCTTATTCACTCTTTTCATATTGGCAGGAAGAAACTCTGAGTAGTTTCTGTCTTTACTTCCTTGGTACTTGGTTGGACCTCAACACCGTCCTCTCCTTCTATGGCTCGTTTAGGCATAATCATATATTGTACTACTTGCAATTTTGCTTCCTTTGTGTTTATATAATCAAAGAGGTTGTGAACCCCTTAAGGAAAGGAAATATTATATACGTTTTTTGTATCCAGGACAGTACGTGAATAAGTACAGTACTTCTCTGTCCATAACCATCGAAGAAAACCCTTTGTTTTATCCTTTCTTTGTTTACAGTAAAACATGGGGAAAGTTTTAATTAAACAAGTACTTTTCAAAAGTCTTTTCTGGTTCCAGAATTGCATGTATACATCAGCAGTCCATCCTATGTTAGCCAATTGCTTGCTTGCTTTTTAAAAATATTTTAAAAATTGTAAAATATAATATTCATATAAGAAAGTGCATAAACATATGTACAGATTAACAGATGGCTAGAAATCAAGTAAAGAAACCGAGTATTGCCAGCACCAGAACCCCCCCATACCCCAAACAAGCTGTTCCTACTCACTGTGTACTCCTGAGTTATGTAGTGTGTATTCTTTTGCCCAACGTTACAAGCCTCATCCATGTTGATATGTCTTCCCTCTAGCTGAAGTCGGTTAATTTTCTTTGCTGTGACATATCCCTCAATTGGTTCATCCATTCTGCTGTTTATGGACACTTGGCTCATTTCCAATTTGGGGCCATTAAGAACAATGCTGTATGAACATTCCTGCACATGTCTTCCGGGGAATATATACCTCGGCGTGAAATTGCTGGGTCATGACGTGTGTACATCTTCAGCTGTGCTAGGTGGTGCCAACCCCTTTTCGAAATTTGGCTGTACCAATTTCCACTCCAATACAGTATTTGAGTTTCCGTTGCTCCATAGTTTTACCATATTTTTTTTGTATAGTCAGACTTTAAAATTTTTGTCCATCACAAGTGAATTCGAATGCTTTCTTAGGAAAGAAAACCCTTTACATCCGTCAGCTTTCTTGCTACGGGGGTGCGCCGGTACCGACACGCCAAGCGGGGGCGCTAACCTCCAGGAGCAACGAGGGTGCGAGATAGAGCGGCCGGAGGGAGCGCCGCGGGGAAGCCGGAAGTGGCGCCGCTTCCGGCGGGGCCGCCATCTCGCCGTGAGACAGCAGGAGCCGCGCCGCGCGATGCTGTCCTCCGCTGCCCGGTTGCCGTGCTCCGGCAGAGACCCGGCGCTGGAGCCGCACGGCGCCGCGGGCCCTGTGCAGCTGCGCTTCTCGCCCTACGCCTTCAACGGAGGGTGAGCCCCGAGGGCCGCGCTTTCGCTTTCTCCCCCGTTCCTGCTCGAGTCGCCGCCCCGGGCCCCTAGCCGTGGGCGCTCGGGCCGCCTGGCTTCCGGCTTCTGGTGGCCGGCCCCCGGGTCTGGTGCGGACTACCGCGGGTCCCCGCTCTGTGCCGCAGGGAGACGTCAGGGAGGCTCTGAGACCTGCCTCTGACCTGGAGGATCTTAGACGCGGTCCTCCGGTGCGGTTTAGCATCTGAGGTTCGGGTCCTAGGCGCGACGGTGAGGGGCGGCTTAGCATCCGAGGTTCGGGTCCGAGGCGCGGAGCCGCGGCGGCGAGGGGCAGCCCAGCGTTCGAGGTTCGGGTCCGAGGCGCGGCGGTGAGGGGCGGCCCAGCATCCGAGGTTCGGGTCCGAGGCGCATAGTCGTGGTGGCGCTGCTCGCTGCGAAGTCCGATCGGATGACGCGGTCATTTTCTGTTTGAAGGGGAAGGTAGGATGAGTTGTCCAGGCTTAGTTTCATAGATCAGTACTTGTCTTTAAGGTTTAGCTAAGTCCAAGGAAACAGAAACTCAGAGTGGGGACCTTTTAATGTGTGCGTTTTTGCATGTTGCGTTCAAGTTGTCTTTCTTTTTTTGGTGCCAGCTTTATCTCGCGTAATACTTTCCCTTAGTAGCACGCTGAAAGAATTGATAGAAAGATTCTGTTTAGGGCTCTGAATGAAGATCGACGTAACAATGTAAATTGAAGTAATGGTTATATCAACCAGACTTTGTGCTTGAAAGCATGCACACCCAATTCGGACAGATGGTTAAGATAACTGGGTTAGTTATTACTTAAGCAGGTACTTCTGGATTAGAAATTTTAAGGCAGGTGTTTGGAGTATGTTGGAAGGAGAATGGAGGCCTGTGATGTTAGCCTTATTTCTGCCCCTGAAGGGCGGTGTGGTCTTGGGTACCTCTCAACTTCTTGAACCCAAGTTTCCTTATCTTTATTAGCTATTTTTAGTTTGGGAGAAGAATCAAGAGAAGCTTTTTGTAAATTTCAAGTGGTTATCTTTTCTAATCCTCACGATATTTGAGCGTTAGATGGTCTTAGCCCCATCTTGTCAAGTGAACTGGGGCTCGTAGAGGTTAAATGGCTGCAGGTGCAGAGCTGGTGTGGAGCTGAGCCAGGACCTGAATCCCTGGCTCTGTTGCCACTGAGCACGTCTGCTCTTGCCATTGCCCTTCTTAACACTTCCTGTGACAGCTAGTGAATAGTTACATCCTAAGATGGGTTATTAGACCCTTCATGGGGCAGTTACAACTTTTTCTAAGACTTTTCAAGGTACTTAATATTCAGTACTTCTTACTCACTTTTTAACCCCTTGTAATCCAACTTAAGCCATTATTGCCCTAAAACTTAGCCACTTATGACTTTCTGGTTGTTAAATTACCGTTTCTCAGTCTTTGTTCTTTTTGTCCAGCGTGTGTTGCTGCTTGCTCTTGGGCGGCCTTTGCTTCTGCATAGTAAAGTTCAGTTCCCTATCTTTTTCTACTCTAATTCTTTACTTGTGATTAAACTTCAACTCGTTGACCTCCATGTTTGTCACTCAGCCCTGTCACATATCATGGGAGGATAATGTACAAATCTGTTTCTCCAATTTTACCTCTCACGAGTCTCTCAATTCTGGCTTCTTAAATAAAACATTTGTACCTGGACTCTTTGCTCTCACCTTAACCCAAGATACTAAGACAGAAAGCAAGCTAATTATTCCTCTCAATCACCTCTTCTCCTTTGCACTGCTTATAATTATGCCATCGCTTACCCAAATTTAAAATCTTGGATGTCATAATTGGCTCTTCCAGCTTCTCACACATTTTGGTAGTTACAAAAACTTGTACAATTTGTGTGTTTATGTTTTTTGGATTTGTTTCTTCCTGTTCCTGTTGCATGAATCTTATTGGAACATTGTTTCTGTCCTATTTCTCATATCATGTTGTTGTCACGCTAGTCTTCTTAAAACTCCACTTTGCAGATGGAACTTTCCTCGTTCTTGCTTATATAACCTTTATGATCCCTCGCTAAAATTCCAAAATCTTTGATTGACGTTTGGGATTTTCTGTCGTCGGATCCCTGTCCAGCACATAAGCCTCCACTTGCTTACACAAAAAGGGACACCTGAACCAGTTGTTTGAATGTATCATTTGAATTATTACCTGTTTTCCTTTATTCACTGCCCATATTATCAGGAATGCCATTCTTTTCCGTTTCAGAGCTTTAGTGCACATCCCACCTCAGTAAGGATGGTGGCTAAAGTTTTCCAAGTGCTTACGCTCTGTTATCCCCATGCTGGGTGCTTTCTGTGAGTGATGTCATTAACTCACAGTCATCCTGTAACACAGGAACTGCTGTTATCGTAACTTGAACTTGGATGATTTGTCGAAGGTCGCAGAGCTAGTGAGTGGCAAGGACAGGTCTCAAGTACCTCCAGAGCCCACGTCCTCAGTGATCACTGCTCATACGTTTGCCACAGTGATCATAGTTAGCACTTACTGGGGGACCAGTTATGTTTCAGGCATTAGTATGAGGGCTTTACAATTATTAACTCAATCCTTGCAGCACCCTGACAAGATCACTACCATTATGACCTCTGATCTACATATCAGGACACTGAGGCCTTGAGAAGTTAAGCAGCTTACCCACAGCGTCATGTCTGCTGAGTAGGAGAGTCAGAATTGGAACTCAGTCTGCTTTTGCAGTTCACGCTGTAGGCCTCTTCAGTAAACTGCTGTCAGATCATACAACCACAAAGGGAGAAGTTTGATCTTTGTTCATTTTTCAACAGATATCTGGGTGTCTACGGAATGCTAGACGTTATAGAAGGGCTTGGATATAAAGAAATGAAAACACCAAGCGCCTCCTTTCAGCTCCGATAGCTTGTGTTATGGTACCGCTGTCTACACCTGAGCCTCCTGGGCAGGGCCCTGCCTTTGGCTGTTTTGTATTATCAGTGCCTTACACAAAATAGGTGCTTAACTTTTTGAAGATGATAATTCAGAGGTGCTTCTGTGACCATCTGCAAAAGAACCTTTGCTCTGATTTAGGCTTGTGGTTTTTGGGGAGTACTTAATGTCTTCTTCGCAGATGACGTGTAGCCAGGGCTCCTTTCCCCCCATCTTCCCTCTTCCATCTGAATCCTGCTCTTGCTCACATCTAGTGAATTTTATCCCTATATGTGCTATGGAGCCCTCT